TTATCACCCAATGATGTGCTACTTTTTTTTTTTTAAGGAAAAGGATCATGAGCATTTCAAATGCCTTCTGATAGTTCCACCAGGAATTTTAAACACTGACAGACTGTTTCAGCAACCCAACTTCTCCTAAGAAAATGAGCTTCCAGCTTGGATTGGGGGGCCATAAACTGATTTTTTGTTTGTTAGAACCAAATGTTTGAAGCTTATGATTGGAGGAATGGAGAAAATGGAAGTAAACTTTGAGGGCATGAAAGTAGCAAAAAGCTTCTGCTGAGAATGTAATCCACCCAGAAGTTCCCCAGAGGCCAACACCTGCTCCCGGCCCGCACCACCATGCACCTGTACGTGTCTCCACCCAAGGTGACTGACCTGTGGGCCCAACGTCGCTTGTTCTGATTGGGAGGTAACCTAGACCTGAGTCAAGATCAGCTGCCTGGAAAGATGGCCTGGCAGGCAATGTGACCCTTGATGCTTGCTTTTATGCTGGCTGGTCTGTGGAGACGGCAAGGTGAAGGGAACAATTAATGATTAATAGCAGCTCCTGCGCTTCCTGTTCCTTTATCTCCACCGTAAGGTGGATTCCATCCCATGGCTGGCCCAGGTACTAGCCAGGAAAATGATGTTGCTATCTAGAATGTGGTAGAATTTTCTTTCTCTCTCATCCTCTTCTGGCTCTCTCATCCTGAATATCCCAAAGGACTAAGGCACTCTTTGGCAAAGAGATGAGAATGGATCAAAATTGTGGAGATGACAGTCTAAAAGACGTTCAGTCTTGTTTAAAGATTTTTTTTATTCGAAAGGTAGATTTACTGAGAGAAGCAAAGACAGAAAGATCTTTCACCCTCTGATTTACTCCCCTAAGTACCTGCAATGGCCAGAGCTGAGCTAATCTGAAGTCAGATGCCAAGAGTTTCTTCTGTCTCACACATGGATTCAGGGTCCCAAGGATTTGGGGCATCCTTTACTGCTTTTCCAGGCCACAACCAGAGAGCTGGATGGAAAGTGGTGCAGCCAGGACACAAACTGGGATCCCAATGCTTTCAAGGTGAAGACTTAGCCACTGAGCTATGGTGCTGGGCCCAAGAAAGTTCAGTTTTAACAAAAGAAAAATATTTAGGGAGCAGACATTTGGTGTAGTGGCTAACATACCACTTGGATGTGCATTCCATATCAGAGAGCCCAGCTCTGCTGCCAATTTCAGCTTTCTGCTAATGTGCATCCCGGGAGGCAGCAGGTGACCGCTCAAGTGGTTGGGTTTTTCCCACCCACATGAGCGACTTGGAATGAGTTTCTGACCCTTTGGCTTTGGTTATAACCCAGACTTTGCTTGTGAGGACATCTGAGAATGAATCAATGAATGAGAAATTTCTGTATTCCCACCTACCCTTACTCTACACACACACACACACACACACACACACACACACACACACACACACACAAACAAATTAAAGGATTTAAAAATTTTCATCCAGAAATACACAGTAAGGACATGGCAACCCTCTGCTCACACTACTATCAGGAGTAATGGGCAGATCTCCAAGGCTGCAACTAAGACACCTTGCTGGGGTCAGGGAAACAGAAAAGACCAAGGAGATGATTGAGGCGCTAAGAATAACAGAGTGGAAAGAAGGGGCTCTCAGAGCAGATGCCACAGGCATCAAGCAGACTGGATGACGGGGAAGAGTCTATATTGCAGAAGAGGCATACAGGAAGGAGGAAGAGGGCACACCGGTGATGTCTGAGGGAAACTTGGAAGGCGCTCAGGAGGAGGAGAAACGGCAGAGCCCCTTCGCCACATGATGGCCCAGCAGTTCAGGCTGATGGGCCAGAAGTGTCTGAGAGCTGCTGAAGACCAACACTCTCAGAAAGATGCAAAGGTGAGCAAGAGATCCGGCTCCATATTGATCGGGAGGCCAAGTCTGTGCTGTACTTGCTGATACCAGCACTTAGGCTGAAAACATGAGCAAAGGTTTGGATAATAAACTGAAATGCATTGGAAAGGTGCACTTTGCTACACCAAAGACTTTGCTTTTCTTGGATGGACTTAAAACCCCCCCAGGCCCACCCTGCCTGCTGTACCTCTCTCTCATGCCTGCTCCACCTAGGGTCAACCTGCCCAAGGTGGACCTCAGAACTAAAGGAGGAGGATCGTTATCTGGAAGGCTGCTTCTTTTGCCACCACCTCCCCATGCTTGACCTTACACCCCTTAACTATCTTTCAGTCCCTTCCCAAAATGCCTTTCCCAGACATTCCAGCAGGACTGGAGGCTGAGCACTTCGGGGAACAACATTTAAGGGGATGTGAACACAAGGCAGTGTGTTTAACACTAAGTTAGGATGTACACATTCTATAATTACCTTGGAGTCAATGGAGCATCCATTTTGTAAAAGATTCCAAGTAATTCCACACTCCAAAGCAACACTCTAATTCCTTTCTTGCTTTTCACATGTCACCTTTCAGCTTACGGTGGAGTGTGCTTTCCATAGTGGAGGGAGAGGCAGATGGGCCTGCCTTAGTGGAAGGAGTCAAACACAGCCCAGGGACAGATTCCACTCTAGGGACCTCTTCACTCTGTACAGAGCATTAGCCAGACCAGAAAGGAGATTCTAGGAGAAGGTGGCCCAAAACCAAAACCCCAGGTTGTTCACTCTGATGTCTTTTAAGGCTTCTATGGACACCTGGTTTATGATTATTATATTTTTCATCAGAAGTGACCAAGTTAAGAGGGTAAGACCCCTGAGACTAACTTTTTGTGCTACCTATGCCCCCTTCCCAACAGCTTGCAGAATGAATCATGTGCTCATTGATTGGGGTGGCCACTTCATTGCATTCCTGCCAGTCTGAAAGAAAGACAGGGCTTTGTCACTGATTAAACCAGTGAAAACTCATCTTGCCACTCTTTGCTGAAGCTACTGTCTCTCCAAGGGCCCACTCGTTATGCTTAGTGTCTTATGTCCAAGGCTTTAGACATTTCCAGTTATTTTGAAACTTTGCCTCTCTGTTTGGGGACCCTGGCCAGCCCACCTGGCCGGGAGAGTTCTCAAAGATGTGAGATGGTGGTGTGCTAGCCTTTCTGAGTTTCCTTCTTTACCCACACCCCACTTTGGTTAAATCTCTGTGAGGTTTTTAAGGCATACCTTTTCCAGTTCATTGGTTAAAATGTACTCTTCTCCGGTGCCATCTCTTTGGGGCTGTTGGGAGAAAGAGAAACCAATAATGTAACTGGATACTGAAGATGGAAAGTAAATGTCTTTTTCAAATGAAAAAACCTCCTCCTTCCCCCAAAAAGGTACTCTGAGCTCCTGGGGCAGGTGCACATCCATGATCAGATTCTTAGTTGGTGTCCTTTCTGATTTTGAGCTCCACCTGTACCTAGTTGCAACCATTTCAGCATCACTGAGATTAAATATAAAATACTGGAAGATTCTAGCCCTGAACAAAAACAGAACCTGCTGGTAGGATCCTTTCTCCTTTTTTTTTTTGCCCCCCAAGGGTCCATCACATTTTATTCCAAACTCAATTACTTCTTTTTTTATATATACACATACTAAAAAATCCAGATTTGGAAGCTTTATCAAGTGCCTTAATCAGGTCACACTTAAACTGTGCAGAAGACACACACCATTTTGCCATGAGCAGCTGTTTTTCTGGGGAACAACCCACAAATCTGAGAGCAAAAGTGTGACAAGTCTACTTGAAACCCAAAGCTCACCAGTGTTAACTTGTAATTCCTGGAATCCATTCATCAGGGATGCCACATATATTTATTAAAATGCATATTCTTGGGTCTTGAATCACAGGCTGGGAATATGCAGTGTGCTTGATGATCATCCCTGGTTAGTGGGTGGGGTTCTCCCCTGTCTGTCACTGTTAGTATTTATACAAATCCAGGTAAATTTGGATTTGTCTGGCTCATTTGCCTTGTCTCTTCCCATACCAACTCTCAGTAGAGTCAGCCCTACATTTTAGAAGACTTAGAGGGGTGTGTGAATCCCTGGAGAGCCAACCTTGTGATCTAACATTGATTATCATGCCTGGTGGGCAGCTGTGGAACTGCCTGAATCAAGCTGAGGTGCTCGGTCAATGTGCCGATGGAGAACAGGGATGGAGGAATGAAGAACCAAAGTCCTCGTCACACTGAGTGTCCAGCGACTCCAATTTGGTGGGAAAGAATTGACTGGAGGGGGATGGGTGGGAGAGGAATAAGTGATTCTGGCTATTTCATTCATTACAGGGTGGCTTTGCTCTGCCTGCGTTCCTCTCTTCCTGCCCATTATTTTGTGCTGTTTACAGCCCTTTGGTACAGTCATAACACAAGAGCATATGTTGTTTTGGTCTTAGTCTCCTGAGGGAAAACCCAGCAGTGTTGTGTCTTTTCCCAGGGAGAATGCTGTTCTAGGACACTTTTCCCAAAGGACTTAAGCTCTGATTCATCTATTCTGTTTTTTTCTTTTGCTGCTTTAGTTTTATTTCATTTCCACCCTTGTTAACATTTTGATGAAATGCACACCAAAAAGAAATAAACTCAGGAGGACATGAAAGCACGCACTGCATGGCTATTTACTTGGCTGGTGGAGGCTTGTTCTTGGTATCCTCTTTCCATGCCTGATGCTGCCCCTCCAGGATAGCCTGCTGTTCATGGCAGAGTGGCACACAGAGACAGAACAGGTACTTGTTCTGTGTAGTGTGACAAACACCTGGGAGAAAGCTGATGCTAAGTTCTTTCACCATCTATCCAGTTTTGAGTTCCTCCTTTCCCTAGGCTACCAGGAATGTCTAAAAACTTAGCACATTATAGCTATGTGAGGTGTGTGTCTACTGCTGTCTAAATAAGCAATGTTTAGTGCTTCTGCAAGCTCCTCTTTGTCTTGTTTGCTTCCAATGCAAACTTTAAGAGATGTGTTCAAACCTACAAAGGTGAGCTTGCAAATGAGGAAACTCCAGGATCATTAACAATTTCCTTTATTGTTTTCTTACTGGTAATCCTCATTAGAGATCACAACAGTGGTGCCATCTTGAGAAAACACCAGGGCTTCTTGTACCACTCTGGAGGCTCCTGCAGCTCTCAGGAGGGAGGGGATGCAGCCTGCCCTGCTTCCAGCTGCTGAATCTTCCTGTCTTTTTCCTCCAAGATATCCTCGAGATGGCTGATCCTGTCCGCATGAAGGGAGACCAGGCCGGACAACTCCATAATGAGGCTGACTTTTCTGTCTCCTTCTTCCACAGGCGGGAGGTTCCCACAGTGCTTTTCCAGAGAGTCGTCTTCTAGAGCAAACAAGAAAAGCAAAGTCTGAGCAGCTTTGCATGGGAGCGCTGAAAAAACTTTGTGTCTCATGTTTTTTAGATTGATGGCCAATGAGAGATCTATTTTTTTTTCCCCATCATGGTGGCCATGTGCTGTTATGGACACACCTGGCAGCTGGGGAGAGAATGGGGGACAACTTGTTAATCAAAGAAAAAGATGTGCTGTCATTTTAGGTCAAAAGACCTAGAAAGCGTGAAAATCCTGTTTCATGAGTCCTGGAAGCTACAGGTTTTCTCTAAACAGTGACACAGTGCTGAATGTTAACCCAGCACACAGCATCACAGGTTCTTTGAGATTTTCTAGATACTTCTTTCTAAAAAGGGGCATTCCCCTTTAGATCTCGTTACTGGTGCCAACATCCAAAAATGTGTGTTGGACAGAGAAATACTGATCTAGTTTCTGATTCAAATTCTCAAACATTGATTCTCTGCGTGATCCTAAGTACACCCCACAGTTGCCGTCTTGTTTGTTCATTCATTTGCCTAGTAGTTGATGACTGACAGGGATCTTGCACACAGAGTGAATGAGACATGCCACTGGTGGCAGCAGTTACAGTTCTGCTGTCGGGAGGAGACAGGTGGCCCTGTCTGAATTGGGACCTAACAACAGTCAGGAACAGCTACACACACCTTTACTGGGTACACACTCATGCAAATTTACTTTTCACTTTTCAAACCAATGATCCAAGCTCCCAGATATTTTCTCAACCCGAAAGACTCTTGCTGGTGGGTGATTCAGCACCTTGTAGTACCAGAGCCACCCAGGATTGCTGCTGGGCCTCAGTGAGAAAGATCTTTCGTCTGCTGGTTCATGCCCCAAATAGTTTATCCCCAGTCTCCCACCTGGGTGCAGGGTCCCAAAGCTTTGGGCCATCCTCTAATGCTTTCCCAAGCCATAAGCAGGGAGCTGAGTGGGAAGTGGAGCAGCTGGGATACAAACCAGCACTCACAGGGATCCTGGTGGATGCAAGGTGAGGATGTAGCCACTAGGCTATCATGCCAGACCAGATCTGTCTGTAGTGCAAGGGAACAGTGACAAGGGCTGGTGGGGGAAAGTGCAACCAATAGTAGCAGATCAGCGAGCTCAGAAAATATTCCATTAAAAGAAGGCATTAAAACACCCAGAGGTAGCAGGCTCCATAGCAAGCAACTGTTGTCTTAGGTTCATCTGGGCACCTAAGAAGATACCTGAGTATCTTAACTTGCTTTGGCTGCAACAACAAAAAATATGATAGACTTCTCTCTAAGCAACAGAAACGCCCTTCTCACAGTTCTGGAAGCTGAGACATCTCTGATCACAGAAACACCCTTCTCACAGTTCTGGAAGCTGAGACATCTCTGGTCACAGAAACGTCCTTCTCTCAGTTCTGGGAGCTGAGACATCTCTGATCAAGGGGCCGACAGGTTCAGCGCCTGAGCAGAGGCCCTTACTCATCTTGCAGCTGTGTCCTCACAGGCAAAAAGGACTGGATCCTGGCTGCGGATTGGCTCAGCTCCAGCTGTTGCAATCACTTGGGGAGTGAACCATCGGACAGAAAATCTTCCTCCTCTCTGACTCTCCTCCTCTCTGTATATCCACCTTTCCAATAAAAATAAATAAATCTTTAAAGAAAAAAAAAAAAGATGTGGCTAGCCAAATAAGACATCCCTTCCAAAGACATCCAGGATAATGTCCTCCAAGAAACAGCGCCATATAACATCTCTTTTGAACTTCTGATCTTCAGAACTGTAGGTCTGGTTTCAAGTATGCGGTCAAACGCATCACAGCAGCCACAGGAAATGAACAGAGAAAGGGAAACGAACATGTGAGCAATGAGGAAAATGTGCCCACTGGAGGAGACCCAGCTCCTTAGATACAGCCTCATCAAGGCTCTCGGATTTCAGGGACAAGTAACACAAGTTCCCAAACACCCGGATTCCAGATACCCTTGCTTCCTCTGGAATCCTAACTTGTTCTTACTCCTTCTTCCTTGAACACACCAACATTCCTACTAGCTTCCAGCAATCAGCATTTAGGCGTACTCAAGTGATATCATCATTAAAACCCCTTTACAACTTCCTGCCCCTTCAGCTGCTGTTCCATCACTTCTCTGCCTCATGGGCAAATAAATCTCTTGGGGGAGTTGTCTTGTATATTATATGACTCCTTTTTCTTATACTTCTCTTGTGCTAACAGACTATAATGTGGCTTTTGCTTTTAAGCACCTCATGAAACGTGGCCTTTTGGAATCATCAATATCATTAAATCCAATGCTCTTGCTTCAAGTGAGTTCATTATAGCTGGCCCTGTAACTGCAATAAAGGCAGCTTCCTTTCCTTTCCCTTCTTTTCCTATATATAAACCTGGATGCTGATATTGTAAATTACTTGAGCCTAGTCTGGTGTATAGGAATATTTGCGTTAAGAATTTCAGGAGCCAGCCCGGCACCATGGCCTAGCAGCTAAAGTCCTCACCTGCCTTGAATTCGCCAGGATCCCATATGGGCGCCAGTTCTAATCCCGGCAGCTCCTCTTCCCATCCAGCTCCCTGCTTGTGGCCTGGGAAAGCAGTCGAGGACGGCCCAAAGCCTTGGGACCCTGCACCCGTAGGGATACCCAGAAGAAATTCCTGGATCCTGGCTTCGGATTGGCACAGCACCAGCCGTTGTGTTCACTTGGGGAGTGAATCATTGGATGGAAGATCTTTCTCTGTTTCTCCTCTCCTCTGACTTTCCAATAAATAAATAAATCTTAAAAAAAAAAAAAAAAAGCATTTCAGGAACCTCCAGAAGGGAGACTCTTTAGAATGGCAGACTTTGACTCAGCTAAGGAAGGAGCCTCTTCCCCGGCTGAGGTGGCCCCATTGTCCAAGTCTCCACCTGGTGACCCCACCTGGACTTGGCCAGCATCTCCCTCACGAGCTGGGCCTCATCAGAACAAAGCTTGAACATCTGTATAGCTGTCCGTTGAACAGACTCATGCATCCATTTTTAACCCCACCCTTCAACTACCACTGTCCCTTTAAAAGTCCTGCTTGCTGAGTGGTTAGGTGGAAAGAGCACATTTTTGGACCAAGGATCTCTCTTTTCCCAGATGATGGCTTCTTGAAATAAACTCCTTCCCTCTTGCACACATTTGTCTCTGGTGATCTGGGTCTCCGTGTGGTGAGCAGCGCGGGCCTGAATATTTGTCCAATAACAACACTGGCCCCTTCGCCGCCAGCGACCATCCCCGTTGGAACGCCTTCTGTCTACTTCCATAACATGACATTGTTTTTTCCCACACCCCCCACCATTCCTACGTTCTCATTATGCAGGATGCTCCGGACAGCGATTACTGCATGGGATCCTTATATTCCTGGTCTTGAACTCTCTTCTTTCTCTCTACATACAATTCCATTCACTTCTGTAGCCTTGGTTATAGCTGACTGGTGTGAACGACATATGAAAATTTGCAATAGTAGATCAGACTCTAGAGCCTGGACACATACTTTGAGACACCTCACATGCAAACACACACACACACACACACACACACACACACACACACACTTTATCTAACCTCCCTAGTGGAGTACGGTGGCCTTAATACACATCTGTTTGCTATAGTCACAATTCTTTCATTTTTTTTTTTAAGATTTTATTTATTTTTCTATTGGAAAGTTAGATATATGGAGAGGAAGAGAAACAGAGAGGAACATCTTCTATCTGCTGATTCATTTCCCAAAGGGCCACAAAGACCAGTGCTGAGCTGATCTAAAGCCAGGAGCCAGGAGCCTCTTCCAGGTCTCCCACATGGGTGCAGGTTCCCAAAGCCTTGGGCTGTCCTCCACTGCTTTTCCAGGCCACAAGCAGGAGTCTGGATGGTAAGCAGGGCTGCTGGGACACAAACCGGCATCCATATGGCATCCCAGCACATGCAAGGCAAGGTCTTTAGCCATTAGGCTACCATGCCGGGCCCTACAATCACAATTCTTGGAGTTCAGATTTCTCCACATCCTCTCCTCTTCAGCTCTTAAGTCAATTTTTCACATGGCTCTGTGTGGTTCAAATGTCTGCTGCTTCTACTTCCTTTTTTTTTTTTTTTTTAAGATTTCTTTATTTTTATTGGAAAGGCGGATATACAGAGAGAATGAGAGACAGAGAGGAAGATCTTCTGTCTGATGGTTCACTCCCCAAGTGACCACAACAGCTGGAGCTGCGCCAATCCGAAGCCAGGAGCCTGGAACTTCCTCCAGGTTTCCCACACAGGTGCAGGATCCCAGGTCTCTGGGCTGTCCTCCACTGCCTTCCCAGGCCACAAGCAGGGAGCTGGGTGGGAAATGGAGCTGCCGGGATTAGAACTGGTGCCCATATGGGATCCTGGCATGTGGAAGGTGAGGACTTTAGTTGCTAGACCATGGTGCCGGACCCAAACTGTTTCTATTTCTAATAGGTCCTACCATACTGTGATGAGTTAGATGGGCTAATAGGCAGGTCAGTACCTTGTTGGAATGAGAAACAGGGAAGTCCCCTGAAGAGTGAACAAGCCATTTGCTTCTTCCCAGAAGTAGCCTTTAGCAAAGAAAAAACACCAATCCACCCTCTGAGTTATCAGTTTTATCATGAAAATAGAAAGAGAAAGTTGCCTATCCCATCTTTTCAACGGCTTTTGTTCCTTTCATCATGAGTAGGTGGGGATTACAATTCTGGTTCTCTGATGGGTTTTGTCCCGAATCTCTAAAAGATTGTTAGCTGTCATTCTGTTCTCCCAAACTGTGCTGAAAAGACATTTTTTCAATAAATTTCTTGGGTCTTCCTCTCTCACAGCCCCTCTCCTGGCGCTGTGGCAGGAGGTTTGGGACTTAAATAAATGTTGCTTATCTACTGTTCTGTCCGCATGGAAATTCTTCTACGCGAGACAAGAACAGCAGTGTCCCTCTTTAGTCATCACCATTCTCCAGTGACAATGTGTTCCTGCAGCTCCCTTTACCTGCATGTCCT